GCCACACAGCCCCCGTCTTCCCAAGCACCCCAGGGAGAGGGAGAAAAAGAGCTGGGCCTGGGTTGGCCACAGCAGAGCCGTGCTCTCTGCCAACGTGGAGGGGGCCCCAAGCTCATGGATAATCCCAGTGCCATCCTTGTGCCGGCCATGCTGGGCCTGAGGACAGAACCATGAGCTGATGACACCCCCACTCAGGATCAGCTTGATGACACAGACCCTCCACCTACTGTAGATCAGGGCCAAAGTGGGGATGACATGCTCAGCTGCGGGCCGCAGGGCAAGCCACACTATATTAATTCTTCCTAACCATGAACATGGAATGTTTCTCCATCTGTTTGTGTCCTCTCTTATTTCGTTGAGCAGTGGTTTGTAGTTCTCCTTGAAGAGGTCCCTTACGTTCCTTGTGAGTTGTATTCCTAGGTATTTTATTCTTTTTGTAGCAATTGTGAATGGCAGTTCGTTCTTGATTTGGCTCTCAATAAGTCTGTTATTGGTGTATAGGAATGCTTGTGATTTTTGCACATTGATTTTATATCCTGAGACTTTGCTGAAGTTGATTATCAGTTTCAGGAGTTTTTGGGCTGAGGCGATGGGGTCTTCTAGGTATACTATCATGTCGTCTGCAAATAGAGACAATTTGGCTTCCACCTTTCCTATTTGAATACCCTTTATTTCTTTTTCTTGCCTGATTGCTCTGGCTAGAACTTCCAGTACTATATTGAATAGGAGTTGTGAAAGAGGGAATCCTTGTCTAGTGCCGGATTTCAAAGGGAATGTTTCCAGTTTTTGCCCATTCAGTATGTTACTGGCTGTTGGTTTGTCATAAATAGCTTTTATTACTTTGAGATACGTTCCACCAATACCGAGTTTATTGTGGGTTTTTAGCATAAAGGGCTGTTGAATTTTGTCAAATGCCTTCTCTGCGTCAATTGAGATCATCATGTGGTTTTGTTTTTGGTTCTGTTTATGTGGTGAATTATGTTTATAGACTTGCGTATGTTGAACCAGCCTTGCATCCCCAGGATGAATCCTACTTGATCATGATGGATAAGTTTTTTGATTTGCTATTGCAATCAGCTTGCCAGTATTTTATTGAAGATTTTTGCATCTATGTTCATCATGGATATTGGCCTGAAGTTTTCTTTTCTTGTTGGGTCTCTGCTGGGTTTTGGTAACAGGATGATGTTGGTCTCATAAAATGATTTGGGAAGGATTCCCTCTTTTTGGATTATTTGGAATAGTTTCAGAAGGAATGGTACCAGCTCCTCTTTGTGTGTCTGGTAGAATTTGGCTGTGAACCCATCTGGACCTGGACTTTTTTTGTGTGGTAGGCTCTTAATTGCTGCCTCGACTTCAGACCTTGTTATTGGTCTATTCGTAGTTTTGGCTTCCTCCTGGTTTAGGCTTGGGAGGACACAGGAGTCCAGGAATTTATCCATTTCTTCCAGGTTTACTAGTTTATGTGCATAGAGTTGTTTGTAATATTCTCTGATGATGGTTTGAATTTCTGTGGAATCTGTGGTGATTTCCCCTTTATCGTTTTTTATTGCATCTATTTGGTTGTTCTCTCTTTTCTTTTTTATCAGTCTGACTAGTGGTCTATCTTGTTGATCTTTTCAAAAAAACAGCTCTTGGATTTACTGATTTTTTGAAGGGTTTTTCGTGTCTCTATCTCCTTCAGTTCTGCTCTGATCTTAGTTATTTCTTGTCTTCTGTTAGGTTTTGAGTTTTTTTTTATCTTGCTCCTCTAGCTCTTTCACTTTTGATGATAGGGTGTCAATTTTGGATCTCTCCACTCTTCTCATATGGGCACTTATTGCTATCTATTTTCCTCTAGAGACTGCTTTAAATGTGTCCCAGAGATTCTGGTATTTTGTGTCTTCGTTCTCGTTGGTTTCGAAGAACTTCTTTATTTCTGCCTTCATTTCATTGTTTATCCAGTCAACATTCAAGAGCCATGAAGTGGCTCTTGTTCAGTTTCCATGAAGCTGTGCGGTTCTGGGTTAGTTTCTGAATTCTGAGTTCTAACTTGATTGCACTATGGTCTGAGAGACTGTTTGTTATGATTTCCATTGTTTTGCATTTGCTGAGGAGTGCTTTACTTCCAATTATGTGGCCAATTTTTGAGTAGGTGTGATGTAGTGCTGAGAAGAATGTATATTCTGTGGATTTGGGGTGGAGAGTTCTATAAATGTCTATCAGGTTTGCTTGTTCCAGGTCTTAGTTCAAGCCCTGGATATCCTTGTTAATTTTCTGTCTGGTTGATCTGTCTAATATTGACAGTGGAGTGTTAAAGTCTCCCACTATTATCGTGTGGGAGTCTAAGTCTCTTTGTAAGTCATTAAGAACTTGCCTTATATATCTGGGTGCTCCTGTATTGCGTGCATATATATTTAGGATCGTTAGCTCTTCTTGTTGTATCGATCCTTTTACCATTATGTAATGACCTTCTTTGTCTCTTTTGATCTTTGTTGCTTTAAAGTCTATTTTATCAGAGATGAGAATTGCAACTCCTGCTTTTTTTTTTGCTCTCCATTTGCTTGGAAAATCTTCCTCCATCCCTTTATTTTGAGCCTTTGTGTATCCTTGCATGTGAGATGGGTTTCCTAGATACAGCACACTGATGGGTTTTGTTTTTTTATCCATTTTGCCAGTCTGTGTCTTTTGATTGGTGCATTTAGCCCATTTACATTTAGGGTTAATATTGTTATGTGTGAATTTGATACTGCCATTTTGATGCTAGCTGGCTGTTTTGCCCGTTAGTTGATGAAGATTCTTCATTTTGTTGATGCTTTTTAGCATTTAGTGTGTTTTTGGAATGGCTGGTACTGGTTGTTCCTTTCTGTGTGTAGTGCCTCTTTCAGGAGCTCTTGTAAAGCAGGCCTGGTGGTGACAAAATCTCTGAGTACTTGCTTGTTCGCAAAGGATTTTATTTTTTCTTCACTTATGAAGCTCAGTTTGGCTGGATATGTAATTCTGGGTTGAAAGTTCTTTTCTTTAAGGATGTTGAATATTGGCCCCCACTCTCTTCTTGCTTGTAGAGTTTCTGCCGAGAGATCTGCTGTGAGTCTGATGGGCTTCCCTTTGAGGGTGACCCGACATTTCTCTCTGGCTGACCTTAGTATTTTCTCCTTCATTTCAACCCTGGTGAATCTGACGATTATGTGTCTTGGGGTTGCTCTTCTTACAGAGTATCTTTGTGGTGTTCTCTGTATTTCCTGGATTTGAGTGTTGGCCTGCCTTGCTAGGTTGGGGAAATTTTCCTGGATAATATCCTAAAGAGTATTTTCCAGCTTGAATTCATTCTCTTCGTCCCCTTCTGGTACACCTATCAAACGTAGGTTAGGTCTCTTCACATAGTCCCACATTTCTTGGAGACTTTGTCCATTCGTTTTTGCGTTTTTTTCTCTAATCTTGGTTTCTCATTTTATTTCATTGAGTTGATCTTTGACTTCTGATATTCTTTCTTCTGCTTGGTCAATTCGGCTGTTGAAACTTGTGCATGCTTCGTGAAGTTCTCGTGTTGTGCTTTTCAGCTCCTTCAATTCATTCATATTCCTCTCTAAATTATCCATTCCTGTTATCATTTCCTTGAATCTTTTTTCAAGGTTCTTAGTTTCTTTGCATTGATTTAGAACATGTTCTTTTAGCTCACAGAAGTTTCTCATTACCCACCTTCTGAAGTCTGATTTCATCATTTCATCACAGTCATTCTCGTCCAGCTTTGTTCCCTTGCTGGTGAGGAGTTTTGGTCCTTTGTAGGAGGCGAGGTGTTCTGGTTTCAGGTGTTTCCCTCCTTTTTGCGCTGGTTTCTTCCCATCTTTGTGGATTTGTCCACCTGTCGTCTGAGTAGCTGCTGACTTTTCGATTGGGTCTCTGAGTGGATGCCCAGATTGTTGATAATGAAGTATTTCTGTTACTTGGTTTTCCTTCTACCAGTCTAGCCCCTCCGCTGTATGACTGCTGAGGTCCACTCCAGGCCCTGCTTGTCTGGGGTACACCTGTAGCAGCTGCAGAACAGTGAGGGATGCTACCAATTTCTTCTTCTGCTATCTTTGTCCCAGAATGTCAGTCTGATCAGTCCTTTTTGAGTTGACTCTGGATATACAGGGGTCAGGGAGCTTCTTCAGGAGACGGTCTGTACTTTATAGGAGCTCAAATGCTGAGCTGTGAGCTCCATTGTTCATTCAGGGCTGTTAGGCTGCTACGTTTATGTCTGCTGCAGCAGAACTCTTAAAACCCTTTTTTTTTTTGCTCTGTCTCGGGGAGTTGGGGCTTTCTTTATGAGTGTCCATTGCACTATCCTGCCCAGCTAGGAGGCAGTCTAGTCAGTATTTGCCTGCCGAGGCTCCGCCCTGCTGATGTGGGGTCCATCCTGTTGCTGCAGGCTCTGCCCTGCTACCACGGGCTCTGCCCTGCGGAGGAGTCTCTCTGTTATGTTGGGTTGCCTCGGCAACGGCAGGCTGTGTCAGCAATGGGAGTGTACCTCAGTAGGGACGGATTGCCTCGGTAATGGCGGACGCCCCTCCCCCACCGAGCTGCACCATCCTGGGTTCAGCTGTGCCCGCAGTGAAACTCTTCACCCAGAGTGTCTCAAATTGCCATTTTGTTTGTCCCTGTGGGGGTGAAACCCACCGAGCCTGCTCGCTTGGCTCCCTGCCTCAGAGCACCTTTCTTTTTTTTTTTAAGTTGAACGGATGGCTCTCTCCCAGGTGTTTCAGTCGCCCACTGTTAGGGCACTGGGATCTGTGTGATTTCCCGTGCAGCGAGCCACTGCCCTGGCTCAGATGCCACTTCCCAGGAATCTCCTGGTCTGGCTCACTGTCCAAGTCCCGTTTAATCAGATGGATATGCTAATCTGCCCTCCCAAATCTCAGATTGCTGGTTTAGCAGGGCACCCGGACCAGTGTGTTTTGTGCGGAGTGTTGCGGAGTGCTGCTGCGCTGCGGCGCCGGCTGAAGCGGCCGCATCAGCCAAAACGGCTGTGCTTGCGTCCCGTGTCTCTCCTACACCTGGGAATTTCCTTGTTCTGTGGGCAAGAAAGATCCGTCTGGAAATGCGGCTTTGACTCATCCTCTGCGCATTCACTGAGAGCTGCGATCCTGAGTTGTTCTTACCATGCCATCTTGAATCAAGTAAGAATATTTTTTTAAAAATTAAATGAGAGAATATAAAAGTCCAGAGAGTGTAGCACAATCCCCAAAACTCTCCCGATCCAGATGGTTGCTGGGCCAGGGTGAGGTCTTGTGTCTTGGCCCTTCCAGATGTTCGACAAATCTGCAACACAGACAGAGGTGTGAGGGTCACTGCGGGGCACAGAGGCGGAGGGAGAAGGGGCTCCCTGGGGTTGGTGTGCAGGTCTCAGAGGGCTCCTCAGGCCCTGGAAGGTAACCTTGGGCCCCAGGTTTCCCCAGAGTCTGTCCACAGGGGTCTGAGGCCTGGCTGAGGGGGTTACGTGTGCACAGTGTCTCTAAATTTCCTGCAGGAGGCACTGAGTCCAGGCACGCACACAGGCAACTTCAGGGAGCTGGACCCCTGATACTGAAACAGATGCAGAGGGAGGGGGAGGCTCAAGGATTCACAGGCAGAGTCCTATGCCCTCAGGCCCTGAGAAGAGCAGGAGGTCTGATGACACAGGGCGGGGTGGGGACCTGCCCTCTTCCCTGGACCCTCCATGCCATCCAGATGGAAGAACTGCACGTTAAATGTGTGCAGCTTCCTGGAGCACGTCATCGTTACAGCCTAAGAATACTTGGTCCTTCCAACACCCCACCAACCCTGTCTGCACATTTTCATTTAGGAAATCATTATGCTTTAGCAAAACACACATTTCCCACGTAATACATTCCAGCATAAAAGGGTTACAGAAAACACTACTTTTTAAAGAATGAAAAACAGGGTGTGTGTGATGTATAATAAATGTATGTATATGTATAAAACATACATTCATATGTGTATAATTTTGAATAGTAAAATACATTTAAAACAGTGGCTCCCTGAATCGTGCCCCTTAACTTCTCCCAAGTGACCACAGCCCTGACTTGTCTTCAGGGGTTTCTTTTGTTGGCATCGGACACAGACAAAGAACCATCGATGCCCAAGCCAGTGCTCTCCACACACAGAAGCCTCCAACCTCATTTTGAGAAATGGGGCCAGGAGGCCACCCCAGGCCCCAGGGCTCCATGGAGGCTGAGGAGCTGCTGGGACTGGGCACACCCCAGGGGTCCTGGATTCTGGCTTTTCCCCTACTTGATGCCAGGACCTACTGAGTGCCCACGGGTGTCCAGTGCTGGGCTGGGTGGGCTGCTTGCTGGCATGGCAAAGCCCGGGGGTGCCTCCCTCCCTCTCACACCTTTCCCAGGAAGCATGAAACATGGGGGTTCATGGTCAGCCCCAATGTCTGCTCGTGACGACCTGGTGATGCTCCCTGTGGGCTTCAGGGGCTGGGAGGGCAGAGCTGGGTCCCCTCAAATGAGCTTCAGTGGCACTGCAGACAAGAATACGGTGTGTGGCTTTGGAATCTTGCATGTGGTAGCTAGACCAGCACCTCAGCTTCTCCCTCATTAGAGCAGCCCATGGAGGGCTCAGCCCAGCAGGCTCACGGGCTGCTATGGAGAGGGTGTGTTCCCTGGAGGATGCTTTCTGGGCATCCTTCACCTGCCTGTAGGGATTTCCAGCATAACAAAGAAAGGTCACAACAGGTCAGGTGAGGCTCTTCAGCATCCTCATCCTCCTTGAACTCACCGGGTGTCCTGATGGGATAGCAGGAGAGTGGGGCAGACGTGGGGACACAGGCACTTTCTGCCTTCCCCTTGTCATGCTGCCCCTGCACACTCATATTTCTTCTGCCTGTTCAGGCTTTGTCTCTGTTGCTTTTTCCACAGGTGCCAGGAGAGGACTTGTTGGCATCTGAGAGGAAGAAAACAACTGTGCATGTCCAGAATCCCCAGTGCAGCTTTGGGGGGTGGTCCCCAGAGGAGACCCAGATGTCACTGGGAACCCCTCCAGTAGGGTGGGGCCAAGCTCTTCTGACCCCAGCCGGGCTTCCTGCCTGGACCCTGTGGAATTGCTCAACAAGATTCAGCACTGCAGCCTGGGGCCAGGAGTCAGGACAATGCCAAGACAGTGGGCAGGAGGGCTGCAGAGGGACTTTATGGGCCCTGAAGGCCCAGAGCATTGACTGCCACGATAAGACCAGGTCCCTCAGGAGAATGATGAGAGGGAAAGAGGGAGAAGGCCAGAGCTAGAGGAGCTCATGAGTCAGAGGGTGAGAGAGAAGAGGAAGGAGACAATTACGTGCTGATGGTCGTCTGCACTCTTGGACTCTTCCATATCTGCTCCAGCAGCTTCAGGGTGTTGGGAGCAGCAGTGGTGATGGGGCAGCCATGGGAAGGAAAGGGGAGAGTGAGACCTGAGGAGGCACTCGGCCCCTGCTGTCCTGAGGCTGCGGAGCCAACCCCACAGGCTTCGGTGTGCTCATCTCCAGATCCTCCGCAGCCTGGATCACTTCCTACAGCGAGGGAGGAGCCTCTGTCTTCCCATACACTTTCCCAGCCCTCACATCCTGTAACTGCCCAGGCAGGGAAGGCCAAGGCTGTGTCATCCCATTCCTCCAAGAGGCAGCCACCATTTCCAGGACGTTGTGCACAGTATGTGATTCCCTCCCTCCTCCTCTAGGGCCTATCTCTGCTCTTCTGATGAATCCCATGTCTTTTCTCCCTATCACCAATCCCGCTGCTCTCCAACAAAACACAGGAGGGAAGAGCAGGACTGCACCACCAGGCCTTCCATAAACCCATGGGTTGCACCCTAGGTGGGCAGCACCTGCCACAGACCTGGGGCTCAGTTGGAGCCTGTGGGACGGGGTGACAACTGATGTCACAGATTGACTGTTGTATGCCTGGGATGACCTTAGGGACCTGGAAAATACTCAACCCTCACAAGAATTCCACAAGCTACTGGAAGCTTAGAAACGCTGTAACGGGACTCTAGACAAAGCCCCATGTCCCACTGCCTTAATCCTCAAGGGAGACTGTGGTTCTCAGCACATGAATGAACGGGCCCTGCCCGTTTTACCTGAGATGTGGGAGGACTGGGCGGGAGGGCACCTGGCAGGCCTGACACAGAAAACAAGCTGGGCCTGACTGCAGTGTGGGGTGCAGGACAAGGATGTCAGGCCAGAACGGAGGGTGTAACAAGACAAGTGACCCTGGTGCCAGCTGCCCAGCGGCTCTGTCCTGGGCCCAGTGGATTCCAGGAACCAGGTTATAAGAAGGGTGTGAGCCTGCAGCAACACACAGCCACTCCACACACACACCCTAGGATTCCTGCTGGCCACAGAGGACCTCGGTGACAGCTGGACACTGAATTCTCCAAACCAATTCAGCTTCCATTCGTAGCTCAAGGACTAGGGACTGGGTGAGAAGTGGAGGCCAGAGCCGTGCTCCAGCATGGGATTCCCCCTTGGGTCTCTAGGATGGGGGCACACTGAGTAATCCCAAAGGAGGATTCTCTATTTCAGGAGAGCCAGGGAGTGCCCTGTGACCAGGAGCAGATGCTGAGGGCTGGACAGGAAGGTGCTGCTGCAGGTCCCCAGAGTGCAGAGGGAGAGGGTAAGCTCTTGCCACTTCCTGGCACATGCATGAAGGACTTTGTGTCCAGGGTGACAGAGCACCTGTGAGGGGCCGTGTCCCACCTCACTCCCCATACAGTACTGAATGCCACATCCACACACTCATCTCTTGTTCCCATTCAAAAACGACACTATGCCCCCTCCCCCTGCAAAACCCACGGCTTTCATGTTTCCTATGGCACAGGCAGGAGAGACCGGGCCTCCTGGAAAAGATATTGCTCATCAGGGAATGAATCATGGGGATGAGCAGAGCACACGCGACGCCCATGGAAACAAAACTCCTTCCATTTCTCATTAACATGCAGAAAGAAAAAACCACACCTTTATACCTGAGCATGTCGAATGCTTGTGAAAATCGGGTTATCGAACACAATAGAGTATGTCCCTGATTATTTTTCTGCTTCAGACCAGGAGCTGAGGAATGATGCCACCACTACCACCAACCACCTGTGAGCTCGCTTCTCTGTGTTTCACATTAATAAATGCACATAGAAAAGTCCAGCATAACACGTACCTACTAATACCCTGCGTCAGGCAGCCCTTGAGAGAGACTTCCCTAAAATAACAGAGAGTGTTTGGGACCTCTCAGGACTCTTATCCTTGCACATGCACAAACAGATGCCAGAACTGCCTGGCATAATGACGAGTTCTACCAGGGCCGCCTGGTGACCCACTGCATCAACCCTCCTCCCATTTCCGGAGTTCACATTTGCTTCTTCCATTTGGGAGACTGAGAGCCTGGGAAATCCATCTCTGCACCATCTCTGTCTGAGGAGTGAGGATATGACATTTACCTTCAGGTACAGCCGTGGTGGAGGATGAATGGGTGAATTTAGGTGACATGTGCAGTAGCAATTCAATGTTTTAGACAGTGTTTCTGAATTTTCTGGGAAAACGCGCATACACTCCTAAAGACATTCCCAATCACTCCACAGGGCTGTCTCCTCCATACCTCACCGCCCTGAGGCACACCACCCTATTCCATCTAAATGGCAGTTCTGCCTCCAGGGACTCGAGAGGATGGTCACAGTTCTTTACTGGATGGACTGAGCGTTTTTTAAACCAAACTGCCCCTATCTCCTTTCTGTCAGGAAGCTCAAACCAAAGCGGCCCTCCAGCAAAAGCAGGAGAGTAAAGTGCCACCTGTTGCCACACTCAAGATCTTTCCTGAGCGGAGGAGCGCTCCCAGAATACACACCTTTTTCCTTGGAGGGTTCCTCTGCTTGCATGGACAGAAAGGAAAACACTGTGAGCTTCAGACCATCCTGAGGCTTGAGTGTACAGGTCTTTTCTTCATTGTTGACATTAGAAGACCAGATGGGAAAGAGTGTCCAAGTCAAAGGAACACAGAAGAAGAACAGGACAACTGACTCACGCTAACGTCGTTCTCGCAGGATATTCCCTCTCAAGGTCCTGTGACTTGGCAGTGAAGTGATTCTGCCCCAAGCACGGAATCAAGCTGCAGAGGAGGAAGCTCACTGTCACTAAGTGTGTGGCTGGTGCTGCCATTTTCTCCTCCTGTCTTAAATCAAGCCTCAGTGGGGAACAGACTCTCACTCGGAATTCTCCCCACCAAAGACACTGTATAAATCACCTATGACACATAGGGTCAGATTCTCCTACCGTACTGAAATTCAAAAGGGTAAAGTCAAGAAATCTTTTCTCCAACCAAACCAGGTGGACTGACCTACCCCTGTGGTGGCTCCTCCTCATCTGAGGATTGGTAGGAGAACTTTTCCAGCAAGGTATATTCTGTGGGAAGTAAAAGGACACAGAGTGAGTCAGCAGGTGCAGAAGAGGAGCAGGGAAGAGAGGTTTTCTAGCCCCAGGTCACCCCATCAACGTGAAATAGCCCATCTCAAACAGGGCACAGCACCCAGGGCAGGCTGTGTGTCCCTGCCGGCTCTTCAGGCTCCTGCCTCCTAATCTGACTTGAGCTCACTTGCCCTCCCTTCCTGAGTCCTTCCAATCTCATTTCCCCCCTAGAATCCACCTCTGGTGCTTCTGTGTGCATCAGTCATTCTGCAATATGTTATACTTGGTAAAAAGCAACCTTTCTTCTGAGACATCTCCTTTGAGCCAAATACACGGTATGTTCACCAGGCTTCTGTACTGAAGACAATAAAGCTTTGAAAATACTTAGTTGTCCTCTCCTTTAAAGGACGCCCCTATTTAGCAAGTGCTATCTGTCCTTGCACTGACCTTCTCAACGCAACATCTGCGTGTGTCAAGAGTCCATTGCTGCTCACACTCACACTGGCTCTGACACTGGAACAGTCTGTCAGGGGAGCAGCAGGTGGGGGAATTGACCAGAGCTCTCCATCCCAGCCGTGCAGCAGGTTCCTGCGGGGAAGGTGAGTGGGAGCCCAACACCCAAGTGGTTCCTTGAGATCACAGTCAGCGCTGTGTCTTGACTGTGTTTACTACTAAACTAAAGCATTTTTCCACTTATTACTTTTTTTTTTTTTTTTTTCAATTGGCAGATGGCTTCTGTTACCCAAGCTGGAGTGGTGTGACATGATCACCGTTCACTGGAACCTGCACCTCCAGGGATTAAGTGACCTTCCCCACTCTGCCATCCAGGTAGCTGGCACAAAACGCACGCCACCACACCCAGGTAACTTTTTGTATTTTTAGTCGATATGAACTTTCACCACGTTGCCTAGGCCGATCTCCAACTCCTGGACTCAAGGAATCCCCTCGCCTCGACCTCTCAAGGTGCCAGGATTACAGGCATGAGCCATGCACCCGGCCCACCTGAGCAAATCGGGTTATCGAACACAATAGAGTACGTCCCTGATTATTTCTCTGCTTCAGACCAGGAGCTGAGGAATGATGCCACCACTACCACCAACCACCTGTGAGCTCGCTTCTCTGTGTTTCACATTAATAAATGCACATAGAAAAGTCCAGCATAACATATACCTACTGATATCCTGTGTCCGGCAGCCCTTGAGACTTCCCTAAAATGACAGAGAGTGTTTGGGACCTCTCAGGACTCTTATCCTTGCACATGCACAAACAGATGCCAGAACTGCCTGGCATAATGACGAGTTCTACCAGGGCCGCCTGGTGACCCACTGCATCAACCCTCCTCCCATTTCCAGAGTTCACATTTGCTTCTTCCATTTGGGAGACAGAGCCTGGGAAATCCATCTCTGCACCATCTCTGTCTGAGGAGTGAGGATATGACATTTACCTTCAGGTACAGCCGTGGTGGAGGATGAATGGGTGAATTTAGGTGACATGTGCAGTAGCAATTCAATGTTTTAGACAGTTTTTCTGAATTTTGTGGGAAAACACACATACACTCCTAAAGACATTCCCAATCACTCCACACGGCTTTCTCCTCCATACCTCGTCGCCCTGAGGTACATACACCACCCTATTCCATCTAAATGGCAGTTCTGCCTCCAGGGACTCGAGAGGATGGTCACAGTTCTTTACTGGATGGACTGAGCGTTTTTTAAACCAAACTGCCCCTATCTCCTTTCTGTCAGGAAGCTCAAACCAAAGCGGCTCTCCAGCAAAAGCAGGAGAGTAAGTGCCACCTGTTGCCACACTCAAGATATTTCCTGAGCGGAGGAGCGCTCCCAGAATACACACCTTTTTTCTTGGAGGGTTCCTCTGCCTGCATGGAGAGAAAAACACTGTGAGCTTCAGACCATCCTGAGGCTTGAGTGTACAGGTCTTTTCTTCATTGTTGACATTAGAAGACCAGATGGGAAAGAGTGTCCAAGTCAAAGGAACACAGAAGAAGAACAGGACAGCTGACTCACGCTAACGTCGTTCTCGCAGGATATTCCCTCTCAAGGTCCTGTGACTTGGCAGTGAAGTGATTCTGCCCCAAGCACGGAATCAAGCTGCAGAGGAGGAAGCTCACTGTCACTAAGTGCGTGGCTGGTGCTGCCATTTTCTCCTCCTGTCTTAAATCAAGCCTCAGTGGGGAACAGACTCTCAGAATTCTCCCCACCAAAAACACTGTATAAATCACCTATGACAAATAGGGTCAGATTCTCCTACCGTACTGAAATTCAAAAGGATAAAGTTAAGAAATCTTTTCTCCAACCAAACCAGGTGGACTGACCTTCCCCTGTGGTGGCTTTTACTCAGGGAAGAATCTTGCATGGTATTCTTCCACCACTTTAATTTCTGTTGGAAGTAAAAGGACATAGTGACTTTCAGCAGGTACAGAAGAGGAGCAGTTAAGAGAGGTTTTCTTGCCTTAGGTCACCTCATCAATGTGAAATAGCCCATCTGAAACAGGGCACAGCACCCAGGGCAAGCTGTGTGTCCCTGCAGGCTCTTCAGGCTCCTGACGTCTCATTTGACCTGAGCTTATTTGCCCTTTTTTCCTGTGTCCTTTCAAGCTTATTTTCTTTTAAGAACACACCTGTGGTGCTTCTGTGAATATCATCCCTTTTGGAGACTTTCTACAAAATAGCAAGCAGCTTTTATTCAAAAAGAAAAACTGATTTGTGATCAAAACATTTTATTCACTAACCGTATTTTTAGGGTATATCTTATTTTTATATACACACAAACATGCTCGAACTTCCTGGCGTGGTGAGAACTTCCAACAGAGCTGTCTGATGCAGTTTCAGCCTGTCCTTCCACTCTTTACCACCCATTCCTGAGATCACTTTGCCTATTTCATTCAGGAAATTGACAGCCTGGGTAACTTATCTCTCCACCCTCTTCCATCTCAGGACTCAGCATGTTCAACTCCCCTCCCTGTACAGCTGTGGCAAAGTATGAGTGTTGACTAACGTGATGTGTCCAATGGGGATGGAGGTTTGTTTCTAGAACATTCATATGTGCTTTGAACAGGGGAACACCCTTTCTAGAGAAATTGACACACACACTCCCATAGGCATTCCCCATCACTCCACACAGACTCTCTCCTCCATGCCTCCCCACCCTGATGTACCCCTGTTCCTTTTTAAATGACATCACTGCTTCTGGGAACTAGAGTGGATGGCCACAGGTGTTGGCTAAACTTTTCATTTTTCTTACACCAAATTGTCCAAACCTCATTTCCAGCAGGAATGTCACACTAGGGTGGCTCTCCAGCCAAAGCAGGGAGAAAAGTGTCAGTTTCTCAACATTACGATATTTCCTTAGCAAAGGGATGACACCAGAGTACGTACCACTTTCCAAAGATGCGTTTTTCTGCAGAGAGAAAGGAAAACACTGTGAGCATCAGACCATGCTGTGTCCTCTGTGCACAGGTCTTTTGTTTACATGATGACATTAAACACTCAGAAAGGAAACAGTGCTTGAGGCCATGGCCAGAAAATAAAGCCTAAAGGACACTTGTGGAAAGGTACAAAAGTTTCATGAAGATTTTCAAAATGATTTTAGTTGCAGAGTCACCATGATTTTATAAAAATATGCATTTCCCATGAGGAAAATGCTCTGCCATGCAGTTTGTCACTAAAGCTGTCATCTGTGGGTGCCGTTTTGAATCAGTTCTTCGTTGGTAATGGACTCTTACTTACATTTGCCCACCAAGAAATTCTGCAATTCATCTATAATTTCCATGGTGAGATTTGCATGACATAATTTAAATGAAGTGGAAAGAAACCAAGAGAAATAAAATTCCCATCTCAGACAAAGAATAAGGACTTTACCCAATAAAGAGCTACGGCAGCTTCTGGGCTCATCACGCCGAACATTCCTGCCACTTCCTTTTTGAAATCTAGGAAACACAGAGTCACTGTCAGCCGTGGGAGCTGCTGAAGACCCTCTGGCAGCCCTGGGTGCTGAAGACACAGGGTTGGTGTATGGAGGAGGTGGGGTAAGAGCAGGGGCTGAGCTGCCGCTGGGCCACCCTCCTTGGTGGTGAAAGAAGGCAAAGGACACCATCAGGAGAGCCCTGGGGGACAGAGCCTCAAGTCTCTGGCTAAGCCACCCTCATCACTGTGAAGTAGGCAGTGTTCACAGAGGCAGCACACAAGTGCACGGCAGGACTCCAGGACAGGGTCTCCACACAGAAAGAGGCCTGGTAAGTATCCTCTTTTATAAAAAGGTTACTATATCACTTAACTTTCCTAAATAAACCTATGCTCCTACTGCAGTTAACATCCATTTTATTGGACTTTAAGCCATGATGGTGAGCTATTCACAATACTTATTATTTTAATCCTTAGTTGCAGACTTCAGGAGCAGATGGGACAACAGCAGCAAACACGGAGGGGAGCCCACACACTTTTCCCTGACCCTGAATCAGAACCCACACAGGAACCTGCATTTGTATGACTCAGCAGACTGCAGAGGGTGACCGGGAAGCCTTTTCACACTCGTGCTTTCTCAGTACAGGGCTGTGTGCACGAGAACATCACTGGGGCCCCCAAGATGGGCTGCCCAGGGCTAAGCCCTGGGATGAGAAGGAAGAAGGACAGAGCCCCTGCCCTGACAGTGACCAGCCAGGGCCAGCATTTTCTCATTGATGAATGGCAGGTCACAGACTGTGAGACTGATGATTCCAAGCCTATCTTAGAAAAACTGGCAAAGTGATGTCTTATGGGTCAGAAGGGAGATGTGCAGGAACACCTGGCCTCTGGGGCAGCCCCTCCCTTTCCCAAGCTCACCCTGCACTGGAATTGGCTCCCCTCCCACCTCTGCTGCAACTAGTGTGATGCAGCTGCCCTGGCCAGGGGCTGTGAGGCTTCCTTTGGTTAAATGGGATTCTGGGATAGACCAACCTTGGCCAACAGCATCTACACAAGGACCGGCTGTCAGTCAACTTCCAGAAGCTGGGGAAAAGTAAATGCTGTTCTCTGTCCCAGTCACAGGGATAGCAGGCCTGGGGTTGGTGCTATGTCTGACCCGACCCTGATGTCCACCCCTGCTCATCATATCCCCTCATCTAAGTCAGATATCTTAGGAACTCCCTTCTGTTCTTTGCCTCTCACTAATTTCTGATTGTGTTATTGCCATCATCACAGAAAGGTGAAGAAGACAAATGAAACAGCGGCTCCTCTCTCCAGGCTCATAGAACGGTGGCCGGGCAGTGCTCACGCCAGCCCTGAAGTCCAAGCTCTGCTCATTCCCCGTAGATGCGGCCCAAACATCCTGGCTGCACCCAGGGCATGACATTGAACTATCTCTCCCGGCCTTTCAACCTTGCCTTCCCCATGGCATGAATGTCTTCATGTCTTCTTCCTGCTCCTCTGCATCATGTTACTTTTGAGGCCGAGGGGCCAAGGCTGTGCCCTGCTCATGGAGCGCACTGTACAGCTCGCCATGAATTTTTAGAACCTCAATGTTGGTAACACTGATTTGTACCTTTAATCGCACACAGTAGAAGGCCACCAAGGTGTCACACAAAAACTGTGCTCTAGAGATTAAAGATGACTAGGGGAATTTGGTTCTGAGGACATACTTTTGAGGGAAACAAGGGACATTTTAAAATCACATGGCCTCATATGGAAAAGTAGGAAAGTACTGTCACGTACATAGCAATGCAAATTGCATACAATAAGTTTCTACCAAATGCACAATCCAAAAAAATTATGCTCAAACCATAATTTGGCTCATTTTATATTCATGTGGACTGAAATCAACCACCTTGACTTGTTTTTCACAGGGCTCTGTGGCAAAGAAGAACATTTGTCAACAGAGGGTGTAATGGGAGAAGCATCGTGGAGCTTCTGCCATCCCACAGCCGAGTCTTGTCTTTCCCACCTCATGCCTGAGCCTTGGACATCCTGCCAGGAGGAAGGCAAGGGCTCACTCTACCTCTCAGGCCCTCGGGCAAAGCCCTTGGTCCCCTTGTCCTCTTCCTGTGTTCCCTGAGCTGAGCACACAGAAACCATGACTGGGCTGAGTGCTGGAGGCTGGGCCTCTACATTGCCCCGGCATTATCTATTCTGGGCCACATTAGCTGATGGTCAATATGAGGCCACAGTGGAGAGAGTCATGTGATTTTACCCCAACCCTCCGTGCAGGCTCCACTTTTCTCAGTCTCCTACCAAAACTGGTTATAGCATGGGGCTGCCCCAGGGTCTCCCTGCACAGGAAGGAGCCCCGCCCCACTCTGCATGCTGAAGACCGGTCATGGAGGATCAATTCTGAGGGCTTGAGTAGAAAAGGCTTGTGAAGGGGCCGGGTGCGGTGGCTCAAGCCTGTAATCCCAGCACTTTGGGAGGCCAAGGCGGGTGGATCATGAGGTCAACAGATCGAGACCATCCTGGTCAACATGGTGAAACCCCATCTCTACTAAAAATACAAAAAATTAGCTGGGCACGGTGGTGTGTGCCTGTAATCCCAGCTACTCAGGAGGCTGAGGCAGGAGAATTGCCTTAACCCAGGAGGCGGAGGTTGCGGTGAGCCGGGATTCTGCCATTGCACTCCAGCCTGGGTAACAAGAGCGAAACTGTCTCAAAAAGAAAAAAGCAAAAAAGAAAAGGCTTGTGAAGGAGGGAAGTGGCCACAGTGAGGTGTCATGACCACTCCAATGCCAGGAGCAACATGAAGGCCTGTTACCAGGTGATATTTATTGAAAATGAGGTTTAGAAGCAGATTCCCAATGAAAAAATAATGAATGAGTTAGGATCCTGAGACAGGTTTGTTCCATTAGCACCCAATGAACATTTGCTTAGGTGTGGACAGGATTTCCTTTGGGTAACTGAAGTGTCCTTTGCATGCATAAACTACGCACGTTGTAAGCTGACATCTTCACTAATAATTACCTATGCTCTTGTCAGGCTACAAGAGTGAGGCATTTTTCACTAAGAATGTGGACACTAATAAGGGAGAGACATGTACCTAGGGAAACCCACACACAGCCAGGCACAGTCAAGGTCACACTACACACATTCACAGACACACACCACTCCCATGCACACAACCCCACCCCACAGACAGAGAACGCTGTTGCTCTCAGGGACCGCAGAATGTGCCCATCGATCCTTATCTGGAACAGCCACTTCTCCCATCACGGCCTAGGTCCTCATTCACAACAGGAAGCTCAACTCCCGCTGCCTGTGTACAGGAAAGCCAGCGAGACACACGTTCCTCATCATCTGGATTATTCATCCACACGGGAGGATTCCCCCATACGTACCCCTTTTCCGGCCTCCTGTGGCCTCCTGTAATGACAGAAAACATTGCCTGAGCACCAGCCCATGCTGTGTCCTGTGTGCACAGGTCTTTTCCTCACTTGTTGACACTAGGAATCAGATGGCAAAAGGTGCTCAACTCAAAGGAACCCAAAAGAAGAACAGGACAAACCCACTCATGCTAACGACACAAGTTTTTCTTGGAGGGTGTTTCCTCTAAGTCCATGCCGCTTGGCAATTAAGTGACTTAGTTCCAAGGAGATAATCAAGTGTCTAAGGAAAAAGGTCATAGCCACTCAATGTGTGGCTGATGCTGCCATTTTCTCCTCCTAACATTGAGCCTCAGTGAGGAACACTCACTCGAAATTGTCCCCACCAAAGACACTGTATAAGTCAGCTATAATCATATAATCATATCTTATTTTAATTCAATTAGATAAAGTTAAGAAAGAACTTTTTGTCAGACAAAGCCAGGTGGCCTGACCTTAACAGATGATGAGGCTTCGCCACTTGATGTTCTGTCGGCGAGGTGACCCTTTAGTGACGCAATCCAGTCAGCTGGGAGGACACAAAGTGACTGTTAGCAGGTGCAGGGAGGAGCAGGGAAGAAAGATTTTCTAGAATAGAGTACAGCATTCAGGGCAGGCTGTGTGTCCGGGCAGCCTCTCAGGGCTCCTGCCTCCTAATCTGACCTGAGCTCACTTGCCCTCCCTTTCTGGGTCCTTCCAAAGTCATTTCATCTCTAGAATCCACCCAAGAGGGAAAAATAAAATTAAGTTAAAAAGCAACCTTTTCTTAAAGAGAATATTTAATTATAACCAAAATACTCTATTTATTCACTAACCATTTGTTTTTAGGACAATGAATCAAATCTTTGAAAATCTGTTTTCCTCCCATTTAAAGGTGACCCCTATTTAGCACGTGCTATCTGTCCTTCCACTCTGTTTTCCATACACCATGTGTGTGTGTCTGCGGAGTTCGTTACTGCTCACACTCACACTTGCTTTGACGCTGGGACAGCCTGTCCTGGGGGCAGAACGTGGGGGTGCTGACCCTCTCTAACCCAGCTTTTAGAGATTCCAGAGGGAAGGTGGGCACCAAGCTAACACCCTGTCTCTTGGTGTCTGTGTTACTAAGCTGGAGCATTTCTAAGGCTGTGGTCATCATGATTTTTCTTTTGGTTTGGTTTGATTTTCTGTGACAGGATCTCACTCTGTTTCCCAGATGGAGTGCAATGGCACAATCATCGCTCAGTGAAGACTCAACCTGTCCGGCCAAAGCAATCCTCCAGCCTCAGCCTCCTGAGGAACTGGGACTTCAGGAGCACATCACCACACCTGACTAATTTTTGTACTTTTTGTAAAGATGTGGTTTTTACTGCGTTGCCCAGGCTGATCTTAAACTCCTGGGCTCAAGTGATCCTCCTGCCTCAACCTCCCAAAGTGCTGGGATTACAGGCATCAGCCTCCCCACTGGGTCCAATCATATTTTTAAATACAACAGGATATGTCCCTGATTATTCTCTGCTTTTGAACAGGAGCTGAGAAATGACCCCACCACTGCAGCCAAAAGCCTGACTCCCCATGTATGTTTCACATTAATGACCACCCCAAAGTCCACCGTACTGCTACCTTGCCTTTCATCATCATTGACAACATCCTGTATTCATGGCTAGCATTTGGGACCTCTCTAGGCTGTCATCCTTCCCCATGCACACACAGATGCTGGCACTCCCTGGTGTGGTGACGAGTTATATCAGGGCCACTCAAGGCCTGCAGAGTAGCAGCCCATCACATCAACCTTTCACCCATTCCTGAGTTCACATTTGCCTTTTCCATTCAGGAAACAGTTCATTTCTCCACCCTCTCCAATCTGAGGACTGGGGATATTAAACAAACCTTCAGGTATAGCAGTAATGAAGCATGAAAGTGTTGACTGATGTCGAGTGTGCAGCGGGGATGGGATTTGGTTTCTAGAACACTGATCCTTGGATCGTGCTTTGCACAGAGGACCACGGTTTGTAGAGAAATGCACACACGCTCCCAAAGACATTCCCCATCACTCCACACAGACTCTCTCCTCCATGCCTCCCCACCCTGATGCACCCCCGTTCCTATTTAAATGACATCACTGCTTCTGGGAACTAGAGTGCATGGCCACAGTTGTTAACTAAGTTCTCCATTTTTTTTACACCAAACCACCCAAACCTAATTTCCAGCAGGAAGCTCAAATTCGTGTGACTCTCCAGCAAGAGCAGGGAGGAATGTGTCCCCTTTCTTACAATTCTCCATGAGCAAAGGGGTGATCCTATGGTACGTACCATGCTTCTGCATAGCTGATATCATCTGCAGAGAGAAAGGAAAACACCGTCAGCCTCAGACCATGCTGTGTCCCATGTGCATGGGTTTCCTCACTTGGTGACATTAGAAAACCAGTTGGGAAATAGTTCTCAAGTCAATAACCCTCATATAAAAAACCTAGAGGACACTTGCAGAAAGGCACAAGAATTTTTTGTAAGATTTTCAAAATGATTTTGTTGCAAAGTCATCACTAGTTTCCAGAAGAATGCATTTCCCCTGAAAAAAATGCTCTGCCATGCAGTTTGTCAGTGAAGCTGTCCTCTCTGGGTGCCATCTGGAACAAGTTCCAAGTTGGTAATGGACACTCACATACCTTTGCCCACCAGAAAATTCTGTAACTCATCTATAATGTTCATGGTAAGATTTGTATATTTTAATTCAAAATAAAATTAAAAAAAAAAATTCCCATCTCAGTCAAAAAGAAGACTTACAGGCTCACAATCCTTAATGCGTTGTGCGAAAGCTCTTGCAGAGGATTTCTCCCAGTTTATTGGATGTTCTAGGAAACAGAGAGACACTGTCAGCCATGGGAGCTGCTGAAGGTGTTCTGGCAGCCCTGGGTGCTGAGGACACAGGGCTGGGGTGTGTAGGAGCAGGGGCTGAGCTGCCACTGGGCCACCCTCCTTGGTGGTAAAGGAAGGCAAACGACACCACCAGGAGAGCCCTGGGGGACAGAGCCTCGGGTCTCTGGCTAAGCCACCCTCATCACTGTGAAGTAGGCAGTGTTCACATAGGCAGCACACAAGTGCACGGCATGACTCCAGGACAGGGTCTCTGCACAGAAAGAGGCCTGGTACGTATCCTCTTTTGACAAAAAGGATACAATGTTTAACGTTCCTGAATCTACCTATGCTCCTGCTGCATTTATCATCTGTATCATTGAATTTTAAATCATTATTGTGGTGAAAAATACATAATATGGATTATTTTATTAAATGCACACTTCAGTGGCATTAGTTCCATTCACAACGCTGTGTAGAAAACTAAAAGCAGGCCGGATGTGCTGGTGCATGCCTGTAATCCCAGCACATTGGGAGGCTGAGGTGGGTGAATCACCTGAGGTCAGGAGTTTGAGACAAGCCTGACCAACTTGGTAAAACCCCATCTCTACTACAAATACAAAAATTAGCCAGGCATGGTTGTGGTCACCTATAATCCCAGCTTCTCAGGAGGATGAGAAAGGAGGATCGCTTGAACCTGAGAGGTGGAAGTTGCAGTGAGCTGAGATCCTGCCACTGCACTCCAGCCTTGGAGACAGAGCAAGACTCCATCTTTTTAAAAAAGAAAAAACTAAAAACAATCTTAATTCAGTGTTCTTACCTTCCACCTAGGAAACTAGAGAAAAAAGTATAGTGTAATGTAACGCAGACACAAAAATAGAACAAACAATTTGCAGAAATCATTATAATAGAAATAATAAAATAAACAAAACAAACAAACAAACAAAAAAAACGAGCTGCTTCATAGAAAAAATAAATAGAATTGATAATCCTCCAGCCAGGCTCACCACAAAGAAAAGCTAGAAGACACAATTTACAAAAAATATAAATAAAAAGAGGAATGATTCCTGCTGATCCCATTAATATCAAGCAGGTAATAAAGAATACTTAGAGCAAATCTACGCTCACAGATTTGACAGCCTAGATGGAAATGACGCATTCCTCCAAAGGCAGAAACTATACCCTAAGGAGAGTCAGATAACCTGAGCAGGCTTATGTCTACTATAGAAATGGAATCAACAACAGCTTTATAAAAAATACCCATGTGACTTTACTGAATTCTTCCTAATTCTTACAAAGGAAGACAATGTCTTGTTATATAAACAACCAATTAAAATTGTAAACATTTACCCAGTTAAATTTTAAAATTATTCCCATTACAAAATCTGCACAAGAATAAGGGCACGTGTATTCAAAGTCACCTGAACTGGAAGCAGCTGAGATGCTCTTCAGGAGGTGCGTGCACCAACCCACATCGTTACATGGACCCAAGGGAATATGACCCGCTGGTAAAAATGAGTAAGCCATTAAGCTACTAAAAGACATGAAAAATCTTGCATGTATATTGTGAAGTGAAATCAGTCCTAAGTGGCTGCATGCTTTATGATTCCAATTCTGTAAAATTTGGGGGAAAATGTATAGAGGCAGTAAAATAAATGATCTATAGCAGTCAGGGGTCCTGAGAAAAGAGGAAAGGGATTAAGAGGTGCAGCACAGGTCATGTTTTGGGTGCAAAACTCTTCTGTCTGGGTGATGAATGACATGAGTTTGTCAAAATCCACAGGCTGCACAACACATGGTGAGCCTTAATGTGAACTCCAGACTTTCACTAATAAGAAGATATCACTATCGGTTCAGCCACTGTAACAAATGCACCACATTCGTGTAAGCTGTGATCACAAAAAGGGTACTGAGTGGGGAGGGCATCTGGGAACTTTCTGTAGTACTTCAACTTTTATGTTCATTTACAAGTTTCACGTGATGTCCATTTGTTTGAAAATGGGGCCACACTATCTCAGGAAGAGTTCCATTTTAGCTACTGTCTAACAATCAGCTAAATATCTAAACCTTGCATTGAGATGTTCTTTACTATTAAAAGCGAACCAAGCTGGAAGTGGAAATACATCTTCACTTCTGCATTTGTAGCACTAGTGATTGACTTGATACATTTCAATTTGAACACCTGAAATAAAGAGGAATAAAGTGCAGCAATTTTAGAGTGGTCTGCAGCATAGGACACTGAAGAATCTGGAATCCTTATGCTTGCAAGAGTGAGAAACTGAGTTTCCACAGTACCTCCAGGTGGCAAAGGGTCGGTGCTAAGATGATAAAGTGGTCGGTGGCAGGATACTTCCTTTGACGGCGTGTGCTCTATTTCTGAAGGAATGTCTTCTTCCTCTTCGAGGCAACGTCCTAGGAAATGTATTAAAATAAAGACAGCTGTTGGCATCTTGCTGCAGAAGACTATAGAGAAATGAGTAATCATTTATTCACAGTTTAACCCATTTCCTGTGTCCCCAAGAACACCGTGCTGCCAGCAAGCTGCACTTTTATTTTCTAAATGGGAAATAGGTTAAATCAGGGGTCCCTGGCCTCTGGGCCACACATAGTTGTGGCATGTTAGGAAACGGGCTGCACAGCAGGAGGTGAGCAGCTGGCTGGAGCAAAGCTGCATCTGTGTTTACAGCCACTCCCCATCACTCCCGTCACCGCCTGAGCTCCGCCTCCTGTCACAGTAGCCATAACATTAGAGTCTCAGAGGAGCGCAAACTATACTGTGAGCTGCACAGAGATCTGGGCTGCATGCGCTGTGTGAGAATCTAATGGCTGATGATGTGTCACTCTCTCCCAGCACGCCCAGATGGGACTGTCTAGTTGCAGGACAACAAGCTCAGGGCTCCCACTGACTCTACATTATGGTGAGTTGGATAATTATTTCATTAACTAAAATGTAATAATAATAGAAATAAAGTGCCCAATAAACGTGCTGGAATCTTCCTGAAAGCACCCTTCCACCCCACCCCACTGAAAAATTATCTTCCATGAAACTGGTCCCTCTTGCTGTCAGAAAGGCTGGGGACCACTGGGCTCCATGTTTGATCCATGGTCCACTGTCCACCATCTGCAGGGATAAGCCTCCTGAATCTGAGTTGGGCATTAGGAAACACTTGCACTGTGGGCTGCATTAAAAACTGTGCAGACCGACTGTGCAGGCAAACCCCTGTGCTGAGATGAGACAACGTAGAAAGGTGGCAGATGGAGTGACCAAGAGCGCAGGGCCTGGTGCACAAAGGTCCGGTCCTTATTTGGAAATACTTGAACCTGAGGGGTTCTATAGACCTTTCTGTGCCTCAGTTTCCTCTTCTGAGTGTCACATGTTCATAATGGGCTATGTTATGTCCTAAGGCCAAAAGTAATTAAACAGAGGTAATGCCTGAAGCAATGCAGTGCCTGCTGAGTGCCGTTCATGTTCAATCATTACATGTCTGAAAGTAAGCCAGGCCCTTGGCAGTGGTTAATATGACAAGGTGCTGGGGGATAGGGCTCCAGAATAGTAGAGAATAAAATTTTCTTCCTCCTTCACATGGGCCTGATGCTTCAGTGCTCATGGACAGTATCTGTTATTTCCTGTGATGCCCACATAGGCCCAGCTAAATGGACAGGCCAGGGCCCACCACCCACAGTTGACAGCTCAGGAAAGTGAAATGAAAGATTTGAAGTGACCTGCCTAGAGTCACAGCACTCAGGGTTGAAAGATCTGGGACAAGAATGTAGATGATTCTCCAGGAAAGAGGTCTCTGAATACCTGAGACCTCTAAATCCCGGCCTGGACCCTGAACCAGGAGCTCTTTTCACTCCCTTTCTCAATCCTCCTCCCCAGGGTCTTTTCAGGAAGGTGGATGCCAGGAGGTGGCTAAGTCCAGAAAAAGAGCTCAATCATTCAAACAAAACTTCTGTTTCTAGATTTTAATTCTTGACCTAAGATATGGCACCTTCCTGCAAACAAAGCCTCCCTGATGAATAAATTCAAATGTCAGGCCATCCTCCTTAGCAGCTTCACACTGCCAGTTGCCTGGCGGTGAACACCCTCATGACCAGTGACCACCCTGAGGGACCAGGGGTCTGCTTGGCCCCAAGATGTTCTAAAACTCAGAATATTCTAAGGCAACTGCCACGTGATGGCTCTGCCAAGAATCAGCTTCCCTTCAACTGACCAACCCTGCATGAACAGTTAACTGAAAATATGGCCATCAGGGCTGGCACTTCAGTGATTTAATGAATGAAATCTGTGACCCCCACTGTCTCACTGACTACCCTTCTGAGCAACCCTTTGAGCAGGCTGAACTAAGGCCTGCCTGAGAGTGAGCAGTGTTTAAATGAAGTCCATTGAATACCTTAGAAGTCACACCTGATGAGAAAGGCACTCACATTTAATGAGACACAGCATGTGTTCAGTCATGAGTGAATGCTGAATTACAGAGGAATGTAAGCAGAAGAGGTAGTAACTTGAGCAGGGGAATATCTGGCTCTAACTAATAGCATGGTGGTTTCCTGCTCACCTGAAACATTAAGACATATCAAAAGGCCAAGAGTACAAAATCATGTTACATCTGAGACCAACATTAGTAATTGGGGCCTATAAAAAGAAGCAGTTTAGCATTACAGCAGCAGAATTAGAACCCAGGTTGGAGTGGGGAAGTGAGTTAATGAAGCTGATGAAAATTTAAAGGTGAGAGTTATCATCCAAGCCAAGTGTAAAGATGCTCCTTTTCCAGGAGAAAAGAAACAGAAGGCAATGGTGTGGGACCTGTAAATTACATGTAAAGAGACACAGTAAAAGTCAAACCTCTGAGGTATAAATCTGAGAAGTTTAAAAGTAAAAACAGATTTTGGAATGAAAAATTAT